GAAGAAGAAACGATGATAGAGATCGAGAGAGAGATTTTACATTCGAGAGAGTTCGATTTCGGAACATAGGCACGAGGCTCGATGAGTTCGATTCGGATTGCGGATCATGATCTGTATCATCCTCTGGATCAAAAACAAAAGCAAAAGACGATTTAGAGACGTACGAAAAAACAAAACAAAAGACACGATCGAGATGATCGGAAGTTTGTTTACTCTTGGAAAGCCGGACGATTCTCGGAGAAAAGGAGTCTGTTCTCTTCTTCGGAGAGAAGATTGGGAGCGATGAGGATGTGGAGGAGACGACGGTTGCGGCAGAGCTTAGGGCGGTAGCATCCATGGTTGATCTTCAGAGCTAACGGAGACAATGAAATTTTGTTTCTTCCTTTTCTCTCTTAGCAGAAAGTAGATCTTTTTTTCTGTTCTTGTTTTTGTCGTTTAGGGTAAACGGGCTTGAGCCCACGTAAATTGGACGGGCCCACGACGAGAACAGAACCTCATTCCCAAAACACCTAAAAGGCCAATTTTCAAAGACTGAGTAATTTGCTTATATGAACCAGTTTGAGATAAACCAAATCAAATTATCTCAACATAACCGGTCCGAAGATCAAAACATTACAATTTCCGAGAAAAAAAACACACGACACGACTTCGAGAATCAGAGCAGATTCCGAACATGAGCTCAAGTTAGTCGTGGTAATCTCGAGATCAAAGACAATTTTTTTTAAAAGTAAACTGTATTAATAAAAAAAAAAAAAAGAAAGTCAGAAGAACAAATATGAGAGAGAGAGGGGGGCCAGAGGCCCAACTAGAGATTATTTTTAGAACAAGTCCACATTTAGGCCGAATAAGACTTCTATATTCGCGGATGCGTCATTTCAGGTTCAAAACGTCGTCGCTGCGTCTCTCTAGATTCTTCTTTTTCTTTTTCTTTCAAGTCCTTCACAATCGTCGTCCTCGTTTTTCCCCTTTCTTTCTTTCACCTTTCAAATCAAACCCTTTTGCTTTTTCTTCCAATCTCAATCCTTTCTCGTTTCGGAGAGAAATCTATTCTTCTCAGCTTTTGGTTGGTTGGTGCCTTCATTACCCGGGAAATCTCAAATTTTTCTGCCAACTGCAAACAGGTTCGTCTTGCTTTCGTGGAATTTTTGATTTTGTCTTTTTTTCTTCGTCTTCTGTTGCCGTGGACATATCCAGATTGATCCTTGGTCGTATCTACTGCTCTGATTCGTCGATTTATACACTTCTTGTTTGTAGGTTTCATGTTTTTTCCTCTTTGGTCGGTAAAGTTTTAGTCTTTTTTTTGTCCGCAGTGGTATGACCATGACGAATTGCATTTAGGTCTAGGTCGTTTGATTCGTGTTTGTGTCAAATTGTTGATTTTTTTCTTTATGATCAATATCTGGGAATGTGTGTGGTAAAGGGTAGTAATTGAAGTACCCTAGAAATATCATTGTTTATTTTGAGATCCTTCTTATAAGTTGATTACCAACTTTTTATTGTTTTTCAAGATTCTAGATACTCCAGGGTCCATGGAAGATCAAGCCAATAATCAGTGTTCCAGTAGCAACAATGCTTCGGAAAAAACTCCAGAGTCAACCGTTGAGCTTAACATTAAGACGCTTGATTCACAGACGTATACTTTCCAGATGAACAAGAATGTGATAAGTCTATCTTTTTTTTTTACTATTCTTATGATCATGTTTGCTAGTATTAACCTTCATAATTTCTTAAGCGTAGTATGATTATTATATATTTGTGCTTGATGACTTGTTTCAGGAAACAGTTTCACTATTCAAGGAGAAGATAGCTAGTAAGATAGGGGTGCCGGTTGGTCAGCAGAGGCTCATTTTCCGGGGAAGGGTTTTGAAAGATGATCATCCTCTCTCGGAATATCGTATCCTAGTGCTAGCTAACTTTATTAACTTGTGGATTATGTGTTATAGTGTAGCTGTTGCATTATGGCATGTGCCCTATGTACAACTGCATATTTTCAAATCTGTCGGAATTCTGG